ATGTAGAGATACTGTTGCACCAAGAATTATAGTGATATTAATATGTTATATTAATGAAGTAAATATATTGGTGATGTATCTGTTTCGCTAATTTGGATATCAGTTAGAAACATACAGTTCAAAGAGAACGATGCTTGTGGACGTTTCAGTCCTTAACGCAGGGTTATACATGACACACAATAAACACCGGCCCGCTGTGACCGAATTTACAACAAAGTTGGCGTTAGTTCTCGCATGAGCAAATTGTCTTGTTCTCTTTTATGCCAAGGTTTACGTTACATCTTCCGTCCTAGCCTACAGTACAAATTTCTCTCCATACGCTTAACGTTTGATCGTTCGCTAAGCGGCTCGGTTTCTATCGCTGCAGCGCGCGGGCAGGTGAGCCTTGTTTATGTCACTTGTATTAATGCACATGGGTACTTGAGTAATGGCCTCGAAGTAAAGATAGGTACCAGTCCTAATCGGGTCTGGCGTGACTATGCGGACCCAGTCTTAATGTAATGCTATAGTATCACGTACCGAAGCAGTTGCACTGCTTCTGTCAAGCGACGCGTATCAGCGATATTCCTGTTATGCGTGAGTCGAGTGGCCTTGAGCTACAGCATATCTAAGACAACCTTTTATCGACGCGCGCTTTTTCACAACTAAAAATTACTTATAAAGAATTTATCTAAGGTGTTCAGATGTCTCTGAGAATTCCGTAGGGTTGTCAGGCGTTCTAGGGTATGAAATTCGACTCGAATGAATTGTACCTGAGGTCGGCACATGAGTGATGACCTTTTATTACTGTGTGGTTGCGTCGAGGGTTATTTTGTGCTGGGGACCGACCATCTTTCAGCGTAGAGCAAGACGGGGTGTCATGGCGTGAACTGGGGTGCTCGTCGAGTATCGTCGTCTGAACGTTCCAACCGTGGGTGCAAAATAGTAAGAAAATGAGTGAGCCGGCATACTACAATCCAGGTTTTCTGCAAGGCGGATAAGCTCAGCACTACGGTGACGCGGCTATTGGCCCAGAAATGGGAAGAGGATATAGACGCAACAGAGCGTATGAGGCCTAGAGCATGCTACACGCCTGTGCGCTGCTAGTGTCCTTCCTACAATCGCTTTACCTTGCTAACGATATGTGTAATACAGTTCACATTCAAAGTGCGGCGTACTGCAACAAAACTGTCTCCCCTGCTAACGTACTGGCATGAAAGACGGGAGAATTTGTTGAAAAAATTGATCAAGGACACGCTCGCTCATGTGTTTTCTCTCCGCGAACAGCTCTCATTGTGACACTTTATCGTAAATCGTCTTAAGCTCCATAATCGACTTCGTGTGCGCGGACATTTACAAACAATAGGCGCGCAGAAAAGCTGACAAATGCTGCTAGTAATCGTGGTGCTTACACGGCTGCTAGTCTAGTCAGCCCCGTCTGCCATTTGGTGAGTCAAACGTCTAGGCAGTCTGAAAAGCAAAAAACTCGGACATGTCGCACGCACAATCATATTAGGGGCGAGTACAGAAGGCTCAGCGAGCTGAACAGCTACTGCTTGATCTTTGTTGCCTATATGGAGTATTGCTCCGCCGTGCCTGATGACCGAATGAGAGGCTGGTGGCCTCGCGGCTGATAGCTGTGGTGTGAGTTTCCTATGATGTCAGGAACATTAGGACGTCTGCGTCGGCAATGTAATTTACGCTCAGCAAGTATGAGTAAACTGTCATTATAGCTAGGCACCACGTCGAAATAAAAACATTTTTCTTATATGAAGTGGACGAGGTATGAAGGGGGGCGATTGACTACCGATTGAAAATATTGTAACTCTGAGACGAAGAACATAGGTTATTATTTTGCGGAGCATATTATAGCAAGGTAAAAGAAAAATAGGTAGCAAAACATAGACGGAGGGACGTGAGAACGAAAAGAGGCTATGTTAAAATGTGAGAGGGTGGTGTTATTGTACAGGAGTCCCTGACCCAATAAGAGCGGACTAACTCGTACACAGTGGCGTTACCAGGGGTAGCACGCTCGGCATGTATTAGGGACACGTATACGCAAATGTTTATACTTTTGCATGCCAATCTCACGCGGCTTCCAGCGAATATCAATCACGAATTCCTTCTCTAGACGGCGGCTCGCGTCCACGTGGGTGCTGCCAATAATGCTTCAACATGCAGGCACATAATTTATTTAAGAAAAGGTCTATGAGCGTGCGGACCAGATTGTACTGTTAAGAACGGAGGAGATATGCAGTAGTAAAGGCGTGGCCTGTAGTAAGGATGAGTAGAAACGTTTGTAGAATAGGTCCAGAGGAGCCTAACAATTGAGCGTCAGACATGAGCTGATTCAGTAGTTGGGTCGTGATTTGCCTGTTTTGGGGCAAACAACCCTGTCTTTTGCTAAAGCTCACGGTCATACTGACGAGTGACAAACTGGACGTGTTCAACGTTAGTCAACGCCGCAACGCTTCATCGTGTCCAGCAGTAACATTATAAGCGTGTGACTAGGCAAGGTCCGCGTGTTGCACCCTAACTGTGCGCGATCTGGGTGCAAGAGTTCTAAACACGGGCACGTCATAGTATTGTCGTACGGTGCCAATTCTACATGATGAACACTATGACATGGCGCCCAGCATGGGGTCTGGGAGCATCACCTCACGTAATGGAGCCAGAAAAGCTTGTGTGGCATAGATCCAATCTTGCCTCTAAAGGCGGTGTTGGGAATTTCAGTTGGGGGTCGGTGAGCCGTAGTCAGTAATAAAAGTATACTATGACGTAAATACGGCCTCTTTCATCTTAGTTAAATATTAAGATCAGTTACCGCAGAGCAATTGACCAGGCAGAATGTGAAACTTTATACTTTATGAAACCATTTCTAAGTTGAACTAAATAATATGAGAGTTTCTCATGTTATAGCTGTTATTTGCCGATAGGTCACTATTGGTTATAGGACAGTTACATATTGATACCCTAAGAGTTTATTAATAATAGTGATTATAATAGCTGTAAAGCAACACATCTGAATTAGAACAGCACTCAATTTTGTGTACTAGTATCAAATATATCGCCGGCTGGCCGTGTACAAGCTCAAAGTACGCGCGACCCCGTTTATTGAAATTATCTCCCATCAGAAAAAATATCTGAGGTTAGTTGGTGTATTACGAGTTATTTACACACCCAAAATTGAGTATAGTTGCTAAAGATGTTCTCAAACATACTAGCTGGTTTTCCATTGCGAGAATGAATTTCACTACGCAATATTGTTAATCAGACTGTTTAGACTACGTAATTTTCCATATTACCACCTAGATGAGAGCACTAAGTTACAACCTATTTCTATAGACCGGCCTCGCAGAGCA